TTTATTAAAACAAATTATTTTTTACTTTACTTTTAGGAGCTTCAGGGAAATATTTGGGGTCTAAACAGACCCCTGATATTTCCCTTTTAAAATAGAAAAAGAGATTGGGGACACCGAGTCCTCAATCTCTGTTTCTGCTTCCCCTATTATAAATGACCAGGAATCCACTATACTGAGTGTTCCTGTTCATTCATAACATGAGGACAGAGAGTGTGTTTACTATAACCACAATCATGAATGGACAGGAGGTGATGTAGATCACTTCCCATTCATTCATAATTGAGGATATTGTTAACATACCATGTCGGCAATTATTTACAAACAGGGCGATCTGGTCACTGAGTGTTTGTACCCGCTCTCCTTCCTTAAATGCCGTTCACAGGAGGCTGAGCGAGCCGAGCTGGAGGAGAGCTTAGCCTCTTGTGACAGCACTGGCGGTCTCCGCCCACACCGCTCTGCTGATCTGTGATAGCAAGATGAGCGGTGAGGGAGGAGAGACGCCGGCCGCTCACTGCGCTCTCCTCCCGCAGCGCTCGGCGGGCTGTCACAGTTTCTCTTCTCCCCACTGGAACACAGAGCAACGCCCAGCGGGGAGGAGAGAAAGAACAGATGCACCGCTGTATCGGCCAGAAAATGGACATACAGGGAAATTCTTGAGGGAAACCGGTTTCAGTCTGCCAGAGATATGAGACTGGAAAGGAGGTTCACCTTCCAGCAGGACGATGACCCTAAGCATATTGCTAAAGCAACACTCGAGTGGTTTAAGGGGAAACATTTAAATGTCTAGACATGGCCTAGTCAAAGCCCAGACCTCAATTCAATTGAGAATCTGTGGCATGAATTAAAGATTCAGCGAAACCCATCCAACTTGAAGATGCTGGAGCAGTTTTTCTTGGAAGAATAGGCAAAAATGCCAGTGGCTAGATGTGCCAAGCTTATACACACGTACCCCAATACACTTCCAGCAGTAATGCTGCAAAAGGAGGCTCTACAAAGTATTGACTTGGAGGGGCGGGAGTGAATAGTTATGCACGTTCAAGTTTTCTGTTTTTTTGCCTTATCTCTTGTTTGTATCACAAGAGAAAAAATATTTTGCATCTTCAAAGTGTTAGGCGTGATACACCCCCCAAAAAATCAATTTTAATTTCAGGTGGTAACGCAACAAAATGGGAAAAATAACAAGGGGGTACTTTTGCAATCCACTGTACCTCCAAGACAAGCTTGCTCTCAAGGTATGCATTGAGATATGTATATATGTGTCTGTGTGTGTGTGTTTACGGTATATATATATACTTTTTTGTCTTTTTTTTTTCTTTCAGGTTAGGAGCTTATATAATTTACATATAACTGTATATTTGCCATATATACACATATGTTTATTTATATATTGCATATATTTGCAAAAGTTTGCGACTTCTGTCTTCAATCTAAATGTTACAAGCAGTTTAATTAAGCTTTTTGAGCTGATTAGTTGGATGAAGCACTGGGGAATTTTCATGTTATTATGCAAAAACTATGACATTGTAGTGACTTACAAGCTTGTCAACGGATTTCTGTTTCTGAAACCCAACGTAAGGTCATTGCTGGTTATGTTTTTGAGCCTCAAGTGACTCTAGTTATGCTCAGCTTTCCCATTCCAGACAAGAATATAAAGTCGCTAAAATTTCTTATAGGTATTTAATCTAAGGTTGCCACCTTTTTTTCTAGCCAAACCCGAACACTCACGCGATGCCTGGAAATTTTTTTGGGAGAATGAGTGGTGGCTTATTCATATGTAAATAGTGATGCCCATTCATATGTAAATATCACAGTTGAGATTATTTTCAGTGGGGGGACAGGAGCCCCTATCTTAATTTTGGTTGCCTGTCTGCCTGACATCTTGTGTCCGGGTTTCTGCTGCCATGAAACCCAGAACACAGCATTCAAAACCCGAACTGTCCAGGTGAATCCTGGACAGGTGGCAACCCTAATTTAATCTGATATGTTAGTACTGTGAAATGTTCTATGAATTACATGTATGTTGGTACTTCTGGATTGGGGATTGTCACTGAAAGCATCCCTGTTTCCTGGTACATGATTTCCATTCTTGCCTACAGGAGCCCGAAGTGGTGATTGGGCCCTGACTATACCGCGTGACTAATGTAGGGTATTGCACAGCGCACCTAGCAATTAACGCATCTCTATGGTGTAAACAGACCCTTACAGGTGGTTCTAATAGATGAGTGTTACTTAGGGTGCCAAAGGTAGTGTGCCTACAGGCTCATTGCTCCAGTGGTGGAAATACAGCCCTGGGCATAGGAGTGTTCTACTCGTCTGTGTCACCAAAGACACAGAGATTGAGATTTGCGCCACTTTACGGTCAGTGAAAGGGGACCCCCCAGGCACCATACCTTCAATTGAAATGTCATTTGTTTTTCTTTTTAAATGTCACTTTTTGCTGCAGCAGTGCAGCAGGTTCTATACATCCTACAGATCCACCACTTCACAGGCAGGTTATGGGGACCCTCCAGGCACAATATTTGAAGGAATTTTTCATTTTTACTCTTACCCTGTAAATCATGTAAAAATCACTGTTCCTTTAAAAAATATTTTTCTTGGTTTTTTTTGTTTTAAATTTCATTGATTCCTGTCATTCAGGGCACTACCCGGATCCCCATACACTTTTTATGGCCAATAAATTGCATATAAGGCTTCAAAATGGGGACCTTTAATTTTCTGAGTTCTACCCCCATAGACTTGCATTGAGTTCTAAGTTCGAGTTAGAACTTTTTCCATGTTCGAAAGTTCGAGTTAGAACCGAACACGGGGGTGTTCGGCTCATCACTAATCTCTAATACTTCCCCTACAGGGTACCTCCTGAGCAAAAAATCTCATCCTGCCTCCTTATTAATAAATTCTGTTGGCTGCAGTGCTTTTTGCGTACAAATATGACACATAACCTTCCCAAGTTCAGAACTAATTAATGTGTCAGCTGCCTCAGTCACACCGGTTTTTATTAATGTGTGAAAAACGGTCTTCCATTCGGAAGAAAAAAATCAAAGTTAGTGTAAATTACAGAAGTTAGGCTAATTAAATAAGGTTGTAGAAAGAGCAATATACAGATGGACATTTTCCATCAATTTTTCTTTAACTTAGCGGCACAATTTACTGTATCTCTGCGTTAACCCCACAATGCCCGTTACCCTGCCACCCCCCTAAATTGCTAAATTACATAAAAAAAAATAAAACTAAACAAATCTCATGGCACCTGGGTCCCAATTCTTTCTTCTGGATTAAAGTTTCAAAGAGTTCTTTTTTGCATCCCCAGACACACCTAATTCAGAATACATACTGTCCCTCACACAGAAAAGGTTTTATAATCTATCAATAATAAAATGCTATACATTTGTGTTGCATAAAATCTGTTTGCTGTTAGAGTTACATAATAACTATGGTCTGCATACCATAAATGTCCCTGACTTTGTCTCCAACCCATAACAGCACATAACACTTTTCTTCCACTTGCTTGTCATAAAGAAGGCATTTAAAGATGAGATTATCATGTTGTTTAAGCAATTTCCTTTCCTCTGAAAATAGTACACATACAGGGCTGGATTTACCACAAGGCCACTGAGGCCTGGCCTCGGGGCAGCAGGGAGTAGAGGTGAAGCAGGCGATAAAAAATAAATAAATACAAATTACAAAAATTAAAAAAGTGATAAACATTTTTTTTTAAATTTAATTCAAATAAAACCACCCCTGCCTCTCCCGCCATCTGGTTGCCATTCTCCCTTGGGGATAGGGGGAGGAGGGTTTGGCGAGGAGGGGGGCGTATTGAGGAACATGGCCTTGGGGCATAAGAGAGAGTAAATCCGGCCCTGGGTACACAGTGCCATGTGGTACAAGGAGGTTGTATGCTAGTGGTGCTAGAAGGCTTTATCATCTATTTACAATTCCTTGTACAACAAAGATCTACAGCTTGTGGAGCCATGTATAGGTGGTGTTGTGTCTTCTTGAGCTTGCCATCTAGAGACAGGATACAGGAGACTTGACTTCTTTATCAAAATTTTGCATTCCACATTTAATAAAACTACGATGGCTCCAGTTTCCTTTAACAAGCACACATCAAAGTGTATCATTAGTTAAAAAGTCTCAAGTTTTGGATAGAGTAGAGAAGTTAGAACCTCTGTCTGCTTTTCATTACTATGTCCCCATTGCAGAAATTAGTACCCGTGACCATTTTTACTGGGATAGAAAGTTTCGGGGGAAATCTCCTATCTAAGAGAACATTTTATTTTGGAGAGGTTTTCTCTCACTTCCTGTTCTGTCTCCAGCACTCATTCTGTCTCAACAAGACATAACCAGGAAAAACAGAAAAATAAAACTGTCAGGGCTACTAACTATTCCCTACTCCATGTCAGTCAGAAAATAATTCCAGGTGGATGTTCCTTGATATAGAAGAAGTATCATACTCACCTCTCTGGCACCTTGTGTCTTCTACCTTTGCTCTGTTCCAGCGCTGCAGCATCAGCCAGACTCTTCAACATTCAACACGTCCAGAAGTGTGTGCCCCACCACACGCTGGGCTTCCATCCTTCCACCCCTAGTTTACTGTTAAATCCTGTAATGGTGTAGGGGCCCTAGGATGAAAGTACAGCGCACTGTGAGGGACACGGGCATCCGACACTACTGGAAGTGTTTAAAGCTGATGACTATCTGTGACTGCAGCACTGGAGCAGAACAATGGTAGGAGACCCAGACGGCTGTAGAATAGCTCTTCTTTGGTGGAGAATTTTCATTTTTTTGTGACTGACAGGAACGCTTTACAAATGTACTTACACCTGCTGTGGTGCCATCATGCTGTTCACTACAGTATGTTACACCAAGTGAGACACTTGGCATGACACCATTGCTCTATACCAAAGTTCCCCAGACTATTAGTTTGGGGAACTTTGGTATTGAGCACTTAGCAAGTGCTCAATATCGGTCTTTCTTTACACCTTTTGCATTAAATATTTCTCATCAGACTGAGCCAAGAATATCTAATAGTAAATTATTAAATAGATCATGGAGATTGCAATCTATGGTAATTTGTTTATATCATCAACATTGTTAGCATAATTCTTTAAATGTTTTAAGTGTGCCTCATCACCATTTGCAGTATTTGAATGTGGATCAGGAACTGACACAGGTTGAAACCTCTGCTCTATGCCACAGACCATTCTAAGTAGATATTGTTTTTTATCATTTTAGGTCAACGCATTTGTTTCCTTTGTCCTTCCGGTTACGTTGATTGGTGCTCTGAACTGTATAACAGTAAGCCATCTTGTGTCCCTGCGCTCTCGCTCAAGTCTGATCATCCATTCCTCCTGCAAGAGCTCTCGGGCTTCCAAAGAAGTGCGCAAGTCTCAGTCTTCACCCAGCAGTCTATCTGGGATTCCCATCGGAAGAACAAGTGAAAAGAAGAACCTCACAGTGTCCAGCGAACCCAACCGCATACAGTCACTGCAACACAGCATTTACATGCTCAGTTAAGGAAATCAGTCAATTTTATTTTGCTGTTTAATTGTTTTTAAGGTGGACATTGCATCAAAATGCTGAAATACCCTGAAGAAGCTGCAAGGCAACACAGTCACTTCTAATTAGAACATAACAACTGGGTGGAATGACCATTGCAAGTGGACCATGCATCAAAATGCAAGGTCTGCCTATTAGTTAGACCCCAATCCCCCGTATGAATACACAGCATTACAATAAAATTACACGTTATAAGAAAAGTAAAAAAATATATACACACCTTACGCCCTGGCCTCCATCCACAATGTTTAGGCGCAGGTGAATTAACAGGCCTACATGTACTAGAATGTCATTCCAAGAGATTTGGGATCCACTGTTTAGCACTGCTGGTGGAGGCTGTAGTGTAGGGTATGTATATTTTTTATACTTTTCTAATATTCTATGGGTTTTTTTTATATTGGTTTGTATATGGTGGTACAGGTTTGACTAATACATGATCCTTGTTTTCTTTTAATAGTCCATGTTTTGGACTTAATTGGCTGGGTTGCCTACAGGCTTTTTAACGTACTTTGGCTGTAATATCTTCTCAGTACAGTTTTCAGATGAAAGTCCTCTTTACAGCCTGGAATTTTAGTCCTCCTCCTAGAGTAGGACTGTTTCCACTGTGCTGAATAATCCTGAATTAATCCAGCATGGAGAATGTGACTCACTTGTTATCCTTGCAGTAAGTTAGCAGAGCTGGAACCTCAAGTTCCAATATCTCACCAAGAGAATCTTTGAGATCATGAAAGTTTAGAGATTTAATTATTCAGCATTTTGCAAAAACATAATATTAGAGTTGGGTAGATTAACTCTTCTAAAAATCTGTACATTGCTGGGTTGCGTGTAAAATTGTATTGTCTCTAAACTTTGCAACATGAATTGCAAAAAATGTTAATGCATTTCAGGAAGAATTATAAAGGAATCATGGACAGGGAGATAAGAGAACGTTGTCATCTTAAACTTAAGTACACAAATTATACACTGCCTGACCAAAAAAAAGTCAGACACTCTAATATTTAATTGGACCGCCTTTAGCTTTGATTACGGCACACACTCTCTGTTGCATTGCTTCGATAACCTTATACAATGTCACAACATTTATTTCTGTCCAGAGTTGCATTCATTTTTCACCAAGATCTTGTAGTGATGATGGCAGAGTCAGACCTCTATGTAAAGTCTTCTCCAGCACATCCCAAAGATTCTCAATGGGGTTCAGGTCTGGACTCATGCCCCCTGAACCACTCTTTCACAATCCGAGGCCGATGAATCCCGGCATTGTCATCTTGGAATATGCCCAATGTGCCATCATGGAAGAAAAAATCCATTGATGGAAAAACCTAGTCATTCAGTATATTCAGGTAGGCAGCTAATATTATTTTTTGGGCAGATAACGTTGCTAAACCTTGATCTATCATCCAATGGAAGGCTCTTACCTATATGCTCAGCTAATTCCATCTGGTGACCTTTTGTTTTTGAACAGGCCCTATACATAGCAGTTTGTCATTAGATGTGGTGGCTGCATTTTTCCCTTTATTTCCACCTGGTAATCCTTTCAATAACGCACCTGGGTGTCTACACTCAACCCTCCACTGTATATACTGCATGTGGACAGCCACGGTTGTCACCCAGGTTGAACTTCAAACATGTCTACCTCTGTGCTTTCGGGTTAGCTCACAGTACATGACAAGGACATTGCATTTTCTCCTCTGCAGGAAAAGATGAAGGGAAGTGGCGGAAGTAGTTCCGCCAGTACTCGAGTGATATGCCGCGTCTGAAGTCCCGCCGCGCAGCTTCTCCCTCTCTCTTCAGTGACAGATCCAGGAAGGGGGAGGGGGGTTGCGGTGCGGTGCGGTGGCTGCGGGGGAATTGCCGGCGATCATTCTCCCCGTGAGGAAATGGCTGCTCCTTCCAAGCCCAGGGGCGGACTGACCAGAGGCAGGTTAGTTGAAGCTGCCATTGGCGAGCTAGTCGGCCGCGAGGCCCTCGCCTAATTAGAGAGCCGCCTCTGCATTTCTGGTGTGAACATTAAGTACTGTACTGAAATACTGATACTGAAAATGTTCTTAGCCGAAAACTGAGGCTGGGTTCACAACTAGGCGTATTGAATATGCCAGTTTGTCACGCGTTTTTACCGCGATTCGCGTTTCCGAGGCCTACTTGGCTGTATCCCAATGGAAACGCGAGACCAAAACGCCCCAAAGAAGTACATGTACTTCTTTGGGCATAGGCCTTTTTGTATCGCGTACGGACGTGCGGAAATACGGCAAGGTGTGAACCAGACCCATTGAATACAATGGGATTTAGATGTTTGAGCGTTTTGTAGAGCGTTCCTTGAGCGTTGAACGCGCTACAAAACGTTTAGGTGTGAACCAGGCCTAATGCAGCCACCACATCTAAGGACTGCTAAACTGCAATATGTTACAATGTTGTTTGTTTGTGAGTTTAGATATGCTTTCAAATAGACCTATAGTTAAATGAGGCATCCCCTGTTACAATGTATGTGTACTGTGCAGGTGGATCAAACATACATTATAAGAATTGGAATTGGTAGTGAGGCACTTTACCAAGACCTGAGCATCTTCCCCCACTGCACCATAACTTACCCTGTATTTAATTTTTCTAAAATATTTCTATAATCCATGGACATCCCTTCTATAATTTTTAACAGTTAACATAATCCCCATTCAAGAGTTAAAAAATATCAAGGACCTATTGGTACATAGACATCTTGAGAAGCAGAATAGAAGGAGTAACAAAACAACAGTTAACCCCAACAACCGAAAAAAACCTTTAGTTTGGGGGAAATGTAAAGTGCGGCCATTTATTCCAACATTAAAGCAAATTAGAAATCCCAAAACAATAGGCATATATGCAACTCAAAAAATTTCAAAAACAAAAAATTTCGTATGGGGCCCCATGATTGCTAGTTATGCCACTTGCACAGCCCACCTGATATACCAAACAGCCCACCTGAGAGTGACCCTATAGAGCCCACCATAGACTCTATAGTGGGCTTTGCAGGGTCTCAGATGGGCTGCACAACTCTTACCTGTCAGCGCTGTCCGCCTCCATGGTCACCGGGCCCCGCCTTCTCTTCTATCGACGGGCCCTGCCTCCTCTTACATCACTGGCCCCACCTGCTCTTAGGCTGCTGGCCAGTGATGTAGGAGGAGGCAGGGTTGCTCGTAGGTGGGCCCCGCCTCCTCCTTCACTGCGAACGCTGGCCTCTTCTGGAAAATAGCAGCATTTTGACATAGGGTATTGGAATGTGTCAACAACAAAGATAGCGATAAAATGTTAGTGATAAAGGAAGCACCTCATCCAATAGCTTGTCATGTCCAAGAAAAACATCACGGTGACCCGAGGTGATTTTGGTGGTGGAAGAATTAAAATTAGGACCTGGAAAAGAAAACCTAGACAACAAAAACTCCTAAGAACAGAGACAAAATAGATGTTTCACTTGAATAAAAAAAAAAACCCTGAATAAGGGTTCACCTACCTTCCTTTTGTTCCATAATTAACAATCCTACGAGTTTTAGAAGGCATATGATAAATAAGAAGGTTCTTTATTTCTGGTTGTTTCATTGACTAGGACAGAAATTGTCTAAAAATTTTAATTTAAGATAGTATAAAACAAAGAAGGAAATTAGTAGAATCACCCATTGGGAAGACACAGTAGGTTCAATTTACAAAGTTGCTTTAAAGTATAATTAAAGTCTTTTGTTTTTCTGGCATATATCTACTGCTAGCAAGCAGTAGATATATGCCCCATGATCAAAGCGCTGGGCAAACTGTTGGCGCTATAAAAATCCTGCATAATAATAATAATTAGAAAAAAAAAATTGGGCAAATACCCAAAGACTTACCCGTTCCAGCGCCGCTCTCTCACGGCTGAAGCAATCCCGGCTCCCAAAAGGCTGTGAATAAGTGTGTGCGGGCGCAGTAGAGAGGAGGGAGGAGGAGAGAAAATGAAACTGGATGGACACAGCCGGGCAGCCACGTCGGACAGCACGTCGGACAGACAACGTGGGACCCGAGGAGTCTGCAGTGGATCAGAGACCGGCACCAGCGCTGGAGGGACTATCAGAAACAAGTGGAATAAAGAAGATAATTGGATCAAGAGGCATCGCATAAGGTAAGTGCTTACAGCAGCATTGGCAGGGGTAACTAAATGTCTCTTTAAAGCAAGGATAAGGATCTCTAATTTTGCCATGTGACTTCAGTTTTCAAATCTCATTGGACTTGGTTAAAATACTGTCACTTTAAAAAAAAGAAAAACATTTGTATTCTGTTGTGTTAGCTTTGTGAATTGAAGCAAATGCAGCATTATAAATAAGGCAGTAGAGTATTGTACCGCTTTAGCCATCTACTAATGCAAACAGTTTGAAGTTTCATTGCTTCTCTAGTATAGGTATTTGAGAAAAGGATTGTGCCTGGACTCCATGAAGTGGATTTACTAAAGGCAAATAGGCTGTTCACTTTGCATGGAAATATGCACTTTGCAGGGGAAGTTTCCCCTTAGGTTAGTTAATGTGGTAAATCTCTGATGACTTCTGCCATCCAATCGTGTGGAAGAAAAAATGCAGTTGTTTTTAGTTTCCTTGCACATGATTGGGTATTCTTTGCAAAGTTAATTTTCACCACATTCACTAAGCTGAAAGGAAACATCACTTGCAAAGTACAAATTCCCTTGCAAAGTAAACAGCCTATTTGCCCACCATTGATCATTCCCATATCTCTGAGTCAACTACCCCAATAGCACTTCTAAACTCTGATATCTATCTCTGTAGCCTAAAGCTGGCCATATACAGCGCCATCCTGAAGTGGTTATACCAAGGTGCTGTGCTTTGCAGCTGACTAGCAGCTTTAATATACAAGCGTTTGAGCTGCCACGTCACTTCACAGTGTGCCGATGCTCCTGGTTATTCGAGGCTTTGCTGTTCCCCATGCATGCCTGAAGCCGGTACATCA